AAGTTGTTTGTACCCTTAATTGGCTTTGCTACCTTTCTTTACCTTTTCCAACTCACTACATCCCTCTTGAAGCAAGTGTCCAGATGGTCAGAGCTTATGTTATTCTAAGGACATAATAGGGGTACATCAGAAAAATTAGTACTTGTGTTTAGCACTGGGCAACAGCAAATCAGCTGTGACTAGCACAAAGGCTGCTGCTTTAGGGTCTCTGAGTGGTGGCAATGTGCTTTGTCATCACTCCTTGTGTGCCAGGTCGAGGAAGAAGGCTGAGCTCAGGATTGGCGTGGGGCCAGCCAGAGCAAAGCTTCACTTTATCTCCCCATGTTGCCAAGTTCACCAAGAGATCCAGAGCAGGTTCTGGAAGCCTTGTGAGCTGGAGATCTAGAGGCTGTGAGATCTAGAGGTCAGAGTCTTGGAGACTTTGCATCTTCTAAGCAGAATCTATTAATTTCAATGCAAATCAGCCTAACTGCTCAGTTCAGTGAGTTTGCATAGACCAGCCCCACCTGACAGTTGGGTCAGAGGTATGAAGAACTACCTCTCTTCAGGCTTTTATCTTCCTCCAGTGTTCTATCAAAGTGCCTTTGTTAGTGACAAGTAAGTATCCTTCATTAAAATACAGCTTTGCATCACAATTATGTAGTAGTTTTTGTTTGCTTTCCTAATTGGAAAAAATTTTGAAAGAGCAATAAAACACAATTTGTTCCCTCTTCCCAAAATGAAACATCTCCTTTTGGAAGGAAGGAGGGAGTAAATTTACATTATAATGAGCAAATGGTTATGAGCCTGTAGATCAGTGTTGACATAAAGGGTGAGGGAAATGAGATGTTGTCATTTTGTGCATTCCCCTTCGCACACATCTGCCTGTGCACCCTGCTGCTGCTGAGCCAGGAGGTGGCTGTGTCATGGGCAGTGATAGTAACACACCCTAACTCAGGGAAAACTCCTGTGGAATGGATCATCCTTCACCAGGGCTGCCAGGTGAGCTCCATCCTTCCCCCAGTGAGTGCCAGCAATGGAGGCAGTGCAGGTACTCCTGCACCTCCGAGCTGGCTGCTTCTTACTGATCCCCTCTCTGTTTTCCTCTTGGCTTTGTCGTTTCACAGGATGAGTGTTATGGTTTTGTTTCAGGCATGTGGCTTACCTAGCAAAGCAGGCAGAAAATGCAGGGTTGGGGCCTGCCCCTGCCCTGCTCAGCCCAAGGAGGGAATGAGCTGAAGCTTTGTCTCAGCTGTCATTCTGTCCTGCCCTTGCTTTCTGGAAGTGGACAGCAGCTGTCCAGATATTTTCTCCTGCCTGTCCCTGTCTGTAACTACTGGGTTCATTAGTGGTTTTGAGAAGCTGGAAGTGACATTAACCCCCTGCCCAGCTGTTGTGGTGTCAGGGCTGCAGGCAGAATGGCATTTGTTTGGCTCCTGGAGAAGTCATCCAGCGATTGCCTGGAGAGTCTCGCTGCAAGTGCAATCCATATGCAATGCTTCTGTCAGCAAAGACTTGCGGGAGGAGAGTTTATAATAAATATTCACATCTGCTGCTTTGGACACTCTAATCCATCCTACAGATCTTTGCTGTGTCAGGCTTTGTTCTAGATGAAGAAGCCGGGTAGTTGTAAAGGTTTGCAAATAGGGCATATTTATCATGGTTAGCTCTACTTGCTAGTTCCCTTTCTTGCACAAATATCCGTGACCACACTGAGCATAAGTTGTGGTTAGATATTCTCAGTGCATTTGTAAGCTGTTTGAGGCTACGTGTTTCTTTTGATAAATGGTGAAATGAAGCCATCAGATCTTCATGAGCAGAACAGACAGCATCATTGTTATGACTTAGTTTGAACAGAGGGACAATATATTCCCTGCATAAACTGTGCATCACATAGGCACACCCAGGGCCCTGAAGTGTTAAAACTGGGATAAATTCCTCCATGCTCATGTCTGTTGGGCAGTATGTTCCCATTGGCTATTTGGTAAATAACCTGAGTTACTAAAAATAGAAAAATATCTCCTGTTTTTCATAATCTTCCCAAAAATTATGACCTTGGTGCCAGATGGACTTGGTCTGTGTCAATTTCAATTATTCTTCTGCTGGTGATGTCTTTGCTTTCAGAGAGAAAATCTCAATACATAAGAAGAGCTGTAATCACTCGCAGGGTGTATTGAACTTGCTCTAAATAGAAAAAAGTGTTTGACCAAGATCATGACTGACACTACAGTGATCCCATTGTTGTTAGGGCCACATTAGATTTGAAATGAATGTATTGATCTTTTTTTTTTTGTACATGAAACTCATGATTATTATAGTTAATTTCTAAAGGAGAATCTTTATCTGGAGGCTGGATAAGAGGCACTTCAAACATGTCACTTACCAGCTATTACCTCTGCTTTTATTTAAGCAGGAAGATAATAAACACATTCTGCTTCCTTAAAAGTGTTCAAAACTGAGTCCATTTGATTTGCAAAAAGCACATGGAAACTGAGAATTCCTTAGAACCTTTTTTAGGTTTTCTTTTATTTTTTCTACTGTTAAACCCTGTTCTATACTAAGGATTTAATTATAATTTTTTCCATAAGGATACAAGGGAGCAAGCACTCAGTATAGTTAGATGCCTGACCTTCTGGAAATTCAGCTGAAAACTCATATCCTCATGTCTCAGAGTGGTACAAGAAAAGGAGTGTCAAAATCATGGTCTGATATTGATACCTACAGGTATTAGGAGAGCATCTACTCCTCTGGTGCTCAGTCTGTGTTTCAGAATCTGTCCCTGAACAACTGTATTTAAATATAAGTGATTGTCCTGCTCTGGTCTGCTCCACCTTGAGTATTGTGTGCACTTCTCATCAGTGTAACATAAAAAAATGATTAAGCTATTAGACAGCATCCAAAGATGGTGAAGGGCCTTGAGGGGAAGCTGTGTGAGGACGGACTGAGGGCACTTGGTCTGTTCAGCTGGAGGAGACTGAGGGGGGGGGCTCACTGGGGCCTGAAACTTCCTTCTGAGGGGAAGAGAAGGGGCAGACACTGATCTCTGCTCTCTGGGAACCAGTGACAGGACCTGAGGGATTGCCTGAAGCTGTGTCAGGAGAGGTTTAGTTGGATATAAGGGAAAGGTTCTTCCTCCACAGGGTGTTTGGGCAATGGCACAGGCTCCCCAGGGATAGTCACAGCCCCAAACCTGACAGTTCAAGAAAGGTTTGGACAATGCTCTTGGGCACATGGTGTGACCCTTGTGGTGTCCTGTGCAGGGCCAGGAGTTGGACTCCATGATCTCTGTGGGTCCCTTCCAACTGAGCAGATTCTGTCATTCTGTCTAAGTAGCCAGGCTCCTTGTGAGGAGAACATGAGGTCTCCAGACTGGCCAAATTACTCCAAACTCCAATCTCATTGTTATTGATCCGTCCAACTTTCTGTTAATTTATCTCAGAAAACAGGAGTACACGCGAGTCTCTTTAAAGCCAACATCTCAAAACTTCCCGCGCCTTTGCCAACCTCGATGATGCCTTTGCCGTGTGTTTCAGGTGACCTGGTGGCTCTGGCCAGCAGCGAGGGCTCCGTGAAGGTGCTGTCCCTGGCCGTGGGCCAGCTCTCCATCCTGCGCGGCCCCGGGGTCGAGGTGCGCTGCGTGCGCTTCCACAGCCAGGATTCGCTGCTGTCCGCGGGTGCCGATGGCAGGGTTTGTCTCTGGAGCTGGGCACAGTGACACTCAGTGACATCGCCTTCCACGAGAGCGGTCTGACGGCAGCACTGCTTATAGCTTCCTAGCTCGTCTTTGCGCTATTCGGGCAATGTTCGCCCAAACGGAGCATTATTTAGCGTTTTATCCAAATAAACCCCTCTAGTTCTCCCTCTTCCTGCTGTCACCGCGTTTTCCCCAAGGCCAAGAATCTCTCTTTTGGCGGTTTCTGGAGAAACAGCTTTACAATGACGCCTAATGCCGGCGCAGCCGAATTGCAAGGAGATTGATTTTTAATGTAGCGCAGCGCGAGCCACAGGAGCCGGGGCGCCCCTTCCCCGGCGCAGCCGCCTGTGGGAAGATGAGGCGAAGTTTCCACAATGCGGCCATGGGGGATGTTTTCCCGGACACCGCCGGGGCAGCGGCGATGAGCCGGAGCTGGAGAGAGCGGAGGGGCTGAGAGAACCCCCAGCCCACGGATCCGAAGGCAGCTGGGCTGAGGGGAGCCCCAGCCGGTGGATCTGAGGGGGCTGCGGGGCCGAGAGGAGCTGGGCTGAGGGGAGCTCCAGCCGGTGGATCTGAGGGGAACTGGGCTGAAGGGAGCCCCATCCGGTGGATCTGAGGGGGCTGTGGGGCTGAGGGGAGCTGGGCTGAGGGGAACCGGGCTGAAGGGAGCCCCAGCTCGTAGAACTGAGGGGAGCCGGGTTGAAGGGAGCTCCAGCCGGTGCATCTGAGGGGAACTGGGCTGAAGGGGAGCCCCAGCCGGTGCATCTGAGGGGAACTGGGCTGAAGAGAGCCGGGTTGACAGGAGCTCCAGCCGGCGGATCTGACGGCAGCC